GTGGGCGGGAGGGAAATGAACAAATGTCTCAGAGCATGGCTGGAGCAGAAAGCGGGAGGGCTTCACAATGCAGTCCAAAGATGAGCTGATGCTTTGTCCCTCCAGGTTTTCCCTGCACTGATTCAGTAATGTATAAAATTACACTGCTTGATCAGCTCTAGCACCTCCCCTGCTGCACACAGCCAGCAACCCTCTGGAGCTCAGTGAATCAGGAAATGGTGCAGTATGTCTCTACTTACTTACACACAAAAAAGAGGCAGCCTCTACAACCTATGATCTACTTATTTAGGCTGGCACGAATGTGAATTTACAGTGCACACTTCAGCTGTTCAGCCTCCTCCCAGCTTGGATTTTGAGTAGCTGCGAGATCATGGATGTTGCAGGGAGGGGAGGGGAGGGGAAGGGAGGGAGGAGAGCGAAAAAGAAAAGAAGACAGAAATAACGACGACAATATTGCTTGCTGGAACTTGATGGCAGATTGTCTCGGCTTGGTGGCAAATATGCTGATTGTCACAGACAAATTAAAAGAAAGCGCAAGAGTGTTTGGCAGTTGGTAAAAAATGCTGAGCAGCTCCGTATTCACAATGCAGGATGTCGCCAGAATCTATAATCATGTAATTCAGAATGTCAGACACAGGAGAGGGAGTCATACCAAGGTAGAACTCGTGCCTTTCAAATGGAAGTCTTTCCCCTCCCAGACATGCTGAGGACGCCCACCCCACTATGTCCTCTCCTACTTGCGTGCCTCGTTTATGGCAAAGGGAACCCACTGCCGACTGGAGGTTCTTCTTTTGCCGCCGTGCAAGATATACTTAGCCAAGGGTAGCCCATGTTGAAAGTGCGCTGCTAACCAGATTTCATTCCTTTAGAAACCCACAGGGGAGGACATATTTTTAAACTGTGCAGATGTTAAACTTTTGGTTAAAACATTACAAGACTAATCTCTGTACAGGAGTCATTGATCAAGCAGGTGTGGTGCCAGGGCCCTTTAGGGATCTTCATTATTTTATAGAGAATATAATATGATTAAGCAAGAGCATCTCCTGTAAGGATCTCTCACTCCCTGTCCCAGATGTCTGGCCGGTCACAAGATACTCTCTTCCATGGAAAAGAGAGGAAGAGAAAAGAACTAATGGAGCCCCACCTCTTTCCTGTTTCTTGCAAATAACTTCTCTCTCTCTCTCTCTCTCTCTCTCTCTCTCTCTCTCTCTCTCTCTCTCTCTCTCTCTGCATGACCAGACAATAATTTTCACTATTAGACAACACGATATTCATAGAGTTGCCACTCAGTGTCACCTACTGAGGTGAAACATCTGCAGGAATTAAGAGAAAAGGGAAACATATGTCTGTACAGTTAGCATAGTGCCACACGTATTGAAGATGAAGGAGAGAGTCATGCCCCCATCCACTCAGTTATTTCTAAATTTCACATAATGTATTGAATTTAGAGGTTCTCCCACGGGCACAGTGCCGACAGCCTTTCAAGGGCTTAAGTCCTGAATAACATGGAGCATATTGGACACATTTCTTGGTGCAGGTTCACCGAGGAGTGCAGGAAGGATCCAGGGAATGGCAAGAAGTGCTACGCTAGCCTTGGGGGCCTCTTCGGGGACTCATTCATGCTGCACTGCTCACATGAAAGGCAGGGTTTGCAGGACCTTGCAGCTCCTGAAGAAGCTTCTCAGTGAATGCATCCCAAGGACTGTTCCTGAAATAGGGTTGCCAGCTCTGGGTTGGGAAATACCTGGAGATCATGGGGGTGGAGCCTGGGGAGGGCGGGGTTTGGGGAAGGGAGGGGCCTCAGCAGGGTATGATGCCATAGACTCCACCTTCCAAGCAGCTGTTTTCTCCAGGAGAACTGATCTTGGTCATCAATTGGAATAGCAGGAGAATTCCAGGTGCTACCTGGAGGATGGCAACCCAGATCCCCATGAAACCACTGGTAAGAATCTGGGGCCTGCAAAAACCAATCACAATCCATGGGGGGGGGGGGGGGTTAGCTGCGAACCCTTTTCAGAAACTTCATTCCCGGACCTGGCTTTAGTAACAGACATTGAGGGTAAGCACCAGCTAAAGCACCTGGCAGGAAAACCCTCAGCGAGAAGGAAGCTGGATTCATTTCCTCCTCCTTCTCGCCTTCCACCTCCCTCGCTCTCCCTTTGTTTATGGTGGGGTCCTCAGGAACACTCTTCTTAGCATCATGCTGGCTCAGCTAACATTTCTGCTCCTTAATCATGCACGGTCACTCCCCAAAGGATCATGAAGAGATCCAAGGCTCAAGGCCTGCTGCTCTGGGTTTGAATGCCCATTAAACTAAAAGACACAGTTGGTGTTACTTGCACTGACAATGATCTTGTGGCTGAGATGGGACTCGGTTGTGAAGACAGGTCCCTCTTGGTGCCGATAGCCCTCTTTCCTATCCAGACTTTTCCATTCTCAGTATAATCACCCAGCTCTGCCTCCAGCTCCTACCCATTGCAGAAGGAGCTCCTGGCTATTGCTTTCCTTCATACCCTGACTGTGCCTGCTTTAACCTTCTGAACCGTATCACTGACTCCTCAACTTCAAGGCTCTCCCCTAACTTTGTCTGTGTGGACAGACAATGCTTAGCACTGATGCTTTCCTGTCACCATATTGCTTAACATCTGATGTTGCCACATGCCTGAGGCAACAGCTTTCAGGATCAGCTGTAAGAGGTTTGATCCATGCATCCTCTAGCTGTACAAGATAATATTGCAGTTCCCTCCTTTGTCCAGAGCTGGATGGTGGCACAGTTGATACAAGCACATGGTTCACATGGGACTAAGACAAAGCAAATATTTATTCCCAGCAGAGGGTATCAGTAGTTAACGGGCTACCGCAGCTCCTAGAGGAGTTACAACATCAGAGTCTTTCTCTGGACCAAGATAAAAGCCAAATGTGAGGTTCCCCAGTTAAGGCCCGGTGTCTCAACAGGCTCGGTATTGGGAATTAAGCCCCCAAGAGGTTCTGAACAAGAAACCTGGGCATTTCTACGAGGGGGTCCTGCCAATGCAATACTACTGTTTATGGCTGGGCTACTTCAGGGTTTCCTTGATGATCTACCTGGATCTTTTCTAGTCTGGCTTCAGGCCTGGATTTGAGACTGAAACTGTCACCTTGGTGGATGATCCGTACTGGGAGATGGAGAAGGAGAGTATGACTCTACTGTTTCTCCTGGACTTCTCAGTGATTTTCAATATGATCAGTCATTTCCCAGCTTTCCTCTGGAGTTGCTCAGCTCCTTGGCCCTTGGCTTATGGAGTCCCATGGGATCCCATCTTGTCTCCCATGTTCTTTAACTTTTACATGAAACCCAGAGATTTGGGTTGGGGTGTCACCAACATATGGATGACACTCAGCTCTATCTTGCACTTCCCCCAGAGATCCCAGGGAGGCTGTAGAAGCCTTGAAGACAGTTTTAGGGTGGATGCAGGCTAATAAACGGAAGTTTAATCCTGACTAGTTGTAAGCACTACTAGTGATCAGTAAAACTGTCTCCTGTTTTAGATGGGGTAGCACTACCCCTGCAGGAACAAGTATGCTCCTTGGAGGTAATGCTGGAGCCTACTGCTGGATAAACATATGGCAGCTATGGCCAGAAGTGCCTTTTATCAGCTTCCACTGGTTAGCCAGCTATGGCCTTTCATGAACAGAAAAGAGCTGGCCATTGTGGTACATGCCCTGGTAGCATCTAGATTAGATCACCGCAATGTGGTCTGCATGGCACTGCCCTTGAAAAGAAACCAATCCATACAGAATGTTGCAGCCAGGATGCTGACTGGAGCTGGTTATAGGGACCATATCACTGCAGTTTTGATATATCTACAGGAGCTCCCAATTTGTTTCCACACCCAATTGAAGGTGTTGGTGCCGACCTTTACAGCCCTATATAGAGTGCAGCCAGCATACCCAAGGACCTAGTAAAGGTAAAGGTTTCCCTTGCTCGAAAGCCAGTCGAATCCAACTCTAGGGGGTGGTGCTTATCTCAGTTTCGAAGCCGAAGAGCCAGCGCTGTCCGAAGACGTTTCCGTGGTCATGTAGC